TATTTTTTTTATTATTATTATTTTTGTTGTTGTTGTTGTAATATACCATCATCATCATCATCATCATCATCATTATCATCATCATCATCATCATCATCATCATCATCATCATTATCATCATCATCATCATCATTCCTATTATTATAGTAATAGTAACAATAATCGCAATAATAATGATGATGAGGATAATGATTATAACGACAATGACAATAACAATAACATAAAATAATAATAGTAGTAGTAGTAGTAGTAGTAGTAGTAGTAGTAGTAGTAGTAGTAGTAGTAGTAGTAGTAGTAGTAGTAGTAGTAGTAGTAATAATAATGACAATACTATCAAGGTTAATTATATAATAGTAGTAGTTATAACAAAAAGTAGTAGTAGCAGTAGTAGTAGTAGTAGTAGTAGTAGTAGTAGTAGTAGTAGTAGTAGTAGTAGTAGTAGTAGTAGTAGTAGTAGTGGTGGTGGTTGTGGTGGTGGTGGTAGTACAAAAATATGAATCTTACTACTACTACTACTCAACTACACGGGCATATGAACGAACTAAACGGGAGCTGTAGGAAATATGACATGAAGATCAGTGTTGGCAAGACCGAGGTCATGACAGTTATCAGGAGACCAGACAAAGTGGGTATCAACATCAATGGATCCCAACTACAACAAAGCAGCGAATTCAACTACTTGGGCCGCATTTTCTCAGAAAGTGGAAAAATTAGATAGAAAAATAGAGACTAGATGCCAGAAAGCCAATGCAGTCAGCTATCAACTCGCCCCTCTCCTGAAACATCCCAATATCCACATGAGCACCAAGGCGAAGCTCATCAACGACATTTTCCTACCAACGCTCACGTATCAGTGCGAGACATGGTGTCTAACAAAAGTCCTCGACAAGAAGTTGGTCACATGCGAAAGGAAAAGTTTAAGAAGAACTATTAACAAGACTAGACGAGACAAGATAAAAAAGGAAATAATAAGAGACATAGTAGGAGCAACACCAGCCCTACCACACATTGAGAAGCAAAAGATCAAGTGGTTCGGGCACCTCAAACGGATGCCCTCAAACCAACCATCTCTGAGGGCACACAACATCAAAATCTGGCAGGAGAACCAGAGGAAGATCAAGGCGACGCTGGAGCGAATCTATGGCAGACAACCTCAGAGCTCACCGGATGTCCCGCCTACAGGCCACTCGCCTTGCTGCAGACACCCAACGGTACAGCCGGAAAAAAAAGAAATAAATTAAAGTAAGTTAGTAATATTCACATTTCCAAATGATCACAAACAATGGATTGGATAAATAGGTTACACGCTATACTAGCAATGGATTTCCTTGTCGTTTTTTGGAGGATGCCTATTTGGCAATATACTTTTTCTATTATTGTTTTCAACAAAGTAAGCTGCATTACTGCGGTGGCGACACACTATTGATTAATTAATTATATATTTTGCTTTTTCCGCAAATGGTTTAAATCGCAAGAAAGCAATACAGAAATTGCTCCTGACCGAATAGCCGCAAACGAGGGCAACAATCTTTTGAATGTTTGTTTCAGATGAAAGGGAAGATGGGATGTTGCCCATAGTTACTTAGTTGTTTGCATGCATTCGCAAATACATACGTCTCTCCCTCTCTCTCTCTCTCTCTCTCTCTCTCTCTCTCTCTCTCTCTCTCTCTCTCTCT